AATCTATAAAAACAAGTGATTAATAGAGACGGAAGTGATTTTTCTTTTTCCTCAGAGCAATTAAAACTTTGGGTTTTTGTGGTTGCTTTTTTTTTTTTTTTTTTTTTTTTGTTTTCTTAGCAGACAGTAAAAAAAAAACCAACAAACTTTCATATCAAAGATTCTGTTTTCATATAACTGAAATGAATGCATGAGGCAGCTTCTAAGTCAAATCCCGGAACGGATTAAGAGCATTTTCTAGTCAAAAATGAGGAGAAATGAAACCAGGATCTTGGTGTGCCCTCTTCCCTCTTGTACTGATGGTTCCTTGGCACACTGATATACGTGCACCCACAGCTGCCTATCCCAGTTGGCCCACAATGGCTGCCTTGACACAAAGATTCACTTGGCAGGTGTTTACTTGCATCACCTTCAGGACCCCAGTGAGTTACCTTGACTGAAAGTCAAGCCAAAAAGATTCAGTGTTTGCCCCCTTCAGGTCCTGTTCTGTCTCCTCAGCAGCAAACTACTCCATTCAGATCAAAAATCAATTTAGTTGCAAGGTCATATGGAAATACCTCACAGCACAAAAAACTTAAGTCTCTGTCTTTGTGGAGGTCTTTGGATAAGTAGGCAATTGACCACCTAAAAGCTCTGGCCATACTTTACATGCAAAGAACTTCATGTCCATCTCCTGTACAGTCAGTGCAATCAATCAAACTCAGGACAGTCTCTGCTGCCACTCCAGCTGTTTTTTTTTCTCACTGTGTTTCCTAGTGCAGTTCACTAGTAAACTACAACAATTTGTACTAGAAAATCTTGAATAACAACCTTCCCTTATCTATAGACAAAACAGTTCATATGATCCCAGCTGGGGGAAAAAAAAGAGTTCTGTTATTGAGGATTTTACCATTTGTATTGCTTGTATTGGTTGGAAGCTTGGTTTGCAGGGGGATGGCATTCTTCCTTCCCCCACATCCCTTTTGGTGAGTTGCCTTATTTCTTTATTTCCTAAATGATTTATGAACAACTGTGAGGACTTACGGTACTGCTCAATTATGATGGTTTGTCATAACATAATCACATAATGCATCACAGGCAAAGATTTAATTGTATTCTAATTGGAGTCCTCATAGCCTTAAAAACATAAAGCAGAGGAGTTTGTTTCACTTGCAAATGTGGGCTACAGACATAATAAGTGGCCCTGTGATGAGTTATCATCAGGGGGAAGGCCTACCAGATGGCAGACATGAAACAGAAACGTTTTTTATTTCTGCAATCAATAAAAAAAAAAAGTGAGCTGGCAATCCTGCATGAAAAACTTTACACAGAACTTTTTCACAGAGATGAGAGACTTTTTCTTGGGACATACCACCTGGGAATTTGTGATCATTGTTCCTACCAACTTGTATAACTTTAACATCCCACCGAGCTGACACTTTGACACTAACAACTGTGCAGGGAGTAAAACAGATTTACAAGTGGCAGTGACCTTTTCATCAAGGGAAGTAAAGTAGACTTGAATCCACCATACCCCCGACTCACAGTCCTGACAACATCATTCAACATACGGTAGGAAAAGCACTTCAGCAAAAGTTTATGAAAGTGACATTGACACAGCACAGTACGATAAATTGATCCCAACACCATGCCATGAGTTTTAAGAAGCATCTCTTTTTTTTTTTTTCAGAGAGATTAGACATGTTTGCTGCTTGAATAATTTAGTGTCATTTGTTACTCAGAGATGACAAAATGCTGTGGTATCAGCACCTTTTTAGTTATGAACAGGTAATCATTTTGACCACCCTTCTAACTGTAAAAAAAAAAAAAATAAATAAAACAAATAAATAAATGGCAACAATTTATAACTGAATGTTCCTACCATCATTTCTTTCTTATCTTAGAGCCACATACTTCTGCGCTGCATGCACAGGCCTTATTCTCTACCTTGGATCTTGTTGCCCTAGCAACTAATAGCCAAGCTGGCATCAAAAAAAAAACAGAGGTAGCCTCTCTGATTTTTAAAGGAAATTGACTACTTTAAACCCAGTGAACGCCTGTTTTAATTGCACTGTTCATGGTTGTGAATCTCTCTCAGCATTTTTCAAGAGAAAATATCAGTGTAATTCAGCTCTGCAGTTTGCTGCATAGAAGCAGTAAAGCAAAACTTCTCCTGCTGGAAACTTCAAGCGTAGATGATTTATTTTTAGGTATCTAAAAGCCAAAAATTAGGTCTGCATTTGCTCATTCAAACTCTTTGTAATTTCTTTATGATATAAAGGCTATGATTTTAAGTTTCTGTAAGAGTAGGAATAGTTTACTTAGAAGCATTGCACAACTACAACTTATAAGGGTACTTTACCTCAAGAAGAAAATTGTTGGACAAATTTATGGTAAAGCAAATTTTCCCTATCGATCAAGCCCTAGAGGGGCATTAACAACACTTAAAGGAACAAACTGTAGAAGATGGAATAACTGACACGTATAAAAACTCAACAAGAGAGCCAAGAAGTGCTAGTAGGAAATGGAACACTTTAACATTACATCCTGGTCATACCAAGGTCCATTGGCCATGTACTCATTCCAGATAATTAATTTACAACACATTAAACCTCTGTGTGAAGAAGGAAGTTATGCATCAGTTGTGTAGGAATATAAAGTGTTATTGATTTAAGATTTCTACTGTATCCTGCAGTGACAGAAAGAAACAATCTAGTTGCATTTTAAAGACAAAAAAACCTTTTCTGAAGGACACGTTTGCTAAATAAGTGCACTTTACACTACATTTAACTGAAGTATTGTTGACATCCTAAAATAAGCATTGTTAAGAAAGAAACCTTCAGCATAATTAGGAGATCGTGGCATGACTGGATAGCATTGGCATTCGCTCTAAAAATCAAATGCTTGGAGGTGATAATGCTCTCTTTTACAGTAACAGTTTAAAATAGAAAAACACATTGACAAATATTATTTAATGAATAAAATATGAGTGATCCAATAGCATTAATACACTACAATACCTAGCAAGAGTCACACGCCTTTTCCTCACGGGGGCATTTTGCATGTAACATGTAAGGGAAGGAAATAGTTGCAGACTGGAGAAGTTCTAAGACATGAACATCATGGCCAGTTCCCTTCATAGAGTCTTTTTCTGCAATTAGATGACAATTTTCATATCACAACTCAGAAAATTCAAATTTAAAAGCTGGTTAGCATTTCTCACTGCAGTTCAGCTTCTCAGGACCATGGGACAAAGAGAATGTCTGCCCCGCATTACTCACAGCTTTCAGCAAAGATCTACTAACAAGATCATTTAAGACTTGCAGCAGTTAGAAAGAGATTTCAATCTGCCTATATGCAATACACTCCCAATTGCAAGAATTCCATTTCAAGTAAGCAATAACGGCAGAGAAAACATAAAGGTATCCATAATTGAACTCAGGCTGAACTACACTGATCTCACAATAGAGAGGGAAGTGTTAACATTCTGGTAGAAAGTTAGATCGTGTCTGGGATTCGGTACAAAATACCCAGAAAGAGGCTGTGAAAGATCTAAAACGAAGCCTAGAATTCTGCAAGGGGAAATTACTCTAGCAATATAGGAACACTGAAAAGAAAACATTACAATAGCTAGTCGAAGTACTACAAAACTCTTAGCAAAGTGTAAAATTCTGGACTATAAAAACAGGAGAGTGCACAAATTCTACAAATGAACTCATGCATAGAGGCACGTAATGTGAACGAAGAAGATCCCTAGCATGTAGAAGATTTAAGAATTGCCATTTACAGTTCGCTGCAAGAGACTGTGTGCGCTGGCAAGCATACACAGTACGAGCAAAGTAAATGACAACACAAGATCCTTTTGTAGAAATCTAGCACAAAGCCTCAGTACGTGAAGAAGTGAAAGCCATGAGTAGACAAAAAAATGGCAGCAACAGAGATACCAGAGCTGGAAGTCCACACATCAAGAGGGAAGCAACTCAGGAAAAAACTCATTAATTTTAAAAAACTTTTTTTTCTCCAGTTTTAAGCTTGACTATTTATGAAGAAATGTGTGGTGGTTTCTCTCAATGCTACAGTCAAAACTGAAGTCAAGTGCATTATTCATCATGGGTACTAATAAAAAATTTAATGTCAGTGCTCTCCAAGAGTGAAGGGAGCCTTTGGCCTCAGTCTACATCTGTGAAAAGTTATATATCTTATTTATGGAAAGCTTATGTTAACTGAAACTGTCTATAAACTACTTACTGCCATTCCCAATAGGAATCTGATAAGCATCTTTATCTTACTGCCTCCTGAAACTTCATAATTATTTCTTAACTAAGAATGGTTAATTTACAAAACAAATACAAATGTAAGTAAAATTTGTTGCCTGCACATGCATATTCTGGAGCCTTTGAGACACTGCACTGCATACAGTTTAGAGGACACATTTCTATATGATGTCTACCCATCCTTTAACCATTTCTGCTCTCAGCCTAGGACTACAAATAACAGAGGAATATTAGGGTATTAGCCTAGGTTGGTGCACTCTCCACTTTCCTGTGAGAACTCTGTATAAAGGTCTTTCAGTTAGGCCAAAGAGCACTTGTAAGTCCATTTTCATAAGGGACAATGACCACAGATTCCCAAAACATCATATGGGTGACTAGCAGTAAGTTGCAGCTTTTGCTTGGTCTGACAGAGCCTTTCCACAAAGAACTGTACCTTTCCCTAATCTTAAACTCACACTGTCCAATCACTGTGACAGAAACAATTACAGCAATTAAAAGCCAGTATTGGCAGTTCCGTGGTGGGAAAAATTATCTATACCACATGCAGCTGTACACACAGCAATAAGACAGAAACCCCTGGTTAGTCATAAGAACAGAAAGGGCAACCCTTGTGAAAGATCCCTGCATTTTCTTAAAAATATCATTTTCAGTAAAACTGGTGCAGGCTAAAGGGGAATAAAGAGGCCATGTTACAGTAACTGCTGGTCCCAGAGTCGTGACTCTAACTCAACGACACAGGAAACTTACAGAAGTGTTGCCAGCCCAGGATAGCAACTTCTCAAGTAGGTGAAGCCATCACGCATTCTGCTCTGTGGACACTGAGACATCCACATCCGTTTTCTTCTTTAGCAACCAAATCATTATTCATCCTGAGAGAATATGATTCATTATGTAAGGGACTTTGATTTCAGTTAGATATTTTGCTTAAATCACCTATTTTTCTTCTTAAAAGTTCCAATATTTGGCATTAGAACTTGAAAAATAGCAGGCAACAATAATTATCATTTTTTAAAAGAATTCAAGTAAAATTTAACATCTCTGCATTCCTCTTTAAAACTGCAATGAAATGAGCACTTTTTGTTCCTTCTCATTCTTTAATAAAAATACCTTGTGTCTTTTGAGATCTCATCAGTCCATATAAACACACTACAATGTATACAGTACATTACAATGTAGGCTTCATTAAGTATCTGAAATGATGTTTCAGTATTTCCCTGGAACTAACTGTAGCACTGCATTTTGGAAAAACGCACATACACAACTCTTCCTTTTCTATCATTTTACAGTGAAAAAAAATATGAAAAATAAAAAGAGCATTCTTAATTCAGGTTATAGGTTCAAATGCACCAACCTTAACTATCTGCAGCTTTAACAGATAAAATGGACAAAGGACAGTAAGAAGAGCAAAATAGAGTGATTTCCTGTGGGGATGCTTTAGTCACTGCTGGTATCACCAGAAGAAGAGCATAGGCTGCCTTATATATCACCCATCTGACAACACTGCTTCCCCCATCTGTATCAGAGCTGCATGTCACTTAATAGCTTGCTCAATTATGAGAAAGTGTTAATAAGTAACCTGGGCACGTTCACTCTTCACTAAATTATAATCAAGACTTGATTCTAGATTTTCTGATTGTTTTTCTCACACGACACGTCAAACAGAGATTTCGTATTTTGTACACCTTTATGGATAATTACACTACTATGCTATTCCTGTTACTATCACATTTAAAGATCTGTTCTTCTTTTCTTTAACTTGTAAATCAAGATACAGTCTCACAAAATATTTTGTTCTTATGAAGTCCTTTTTGCCAATAATTATCAGCCTAATAAGAATTTGGAGATTTCCTTGGCAAACATGATAGCGTGTCAAAGAAGGTACTGATCAGTAACACCCAGACACAAATCGCTTACCTGCTGTTAGGGGTCGTGTTAGCTCCCTCATGCTTGCACACCTTCATTTGCTATATGCTATGGTAACCACTGCACATCTCACATCATAAGCTTCCACCACACCAAGCTGACTCACAGCAGCTGGACAATTGCATGTACCCTACAAGAAAAAAGTTCAGTAAAGAAACCTGGTCCAGGGAAACAGAGTGAGAGACCCAAGCTGTTAGCCAGGTAAGAGAATATACAACTACGGAAAAATATGTATATGACGCTTAATTATGGTTAAGAACAGTCTTAATGAAAATGAAAGTTGCAGTTTCAGTTAAATATAACCATGTTTTATTTCTGCTTATTCCCCAAGGTGTTTTCTTTCCCCACTTTTCACTGAGAACAAAAAATACCTATGTTACAATGTTAGGATTTTTACGTGATTAAACTTCAGTTTTACTATCCTTTACTGAGTGTTTCTTGTCACACTCACTATCATGGATCATGCGCATCTGAGTCATCAGACCAGGGACATTACTGATGTGCTGCTGTATCTGTCCTATAGATACATATTTATATGTAAATGGTGTATCTTTGAATGAATACCTGTTAGTGAGCGCATCACAAAAGAATAGGACTATTTTTATATTCCTGGCAATAAGTATCTTGCAGTACTTTGAAAAAACACTTTTCTGAAAGAGTTTTGTGTACAGTAACTGCAGCAAACTTTAAAATCAAATCGTACCAAGAATGTAAAGTGAAGGCAGATAATAGGCATTGGTTTCTTTCTTTCTTTCTTTCTTTTTTTAACTATTCATCCATACTTACCATGTCCCTCTCTAGAATCCATGGATCATTATTCTTTGTAGCTCTTTTTTCTTCAGTGTAAGACTATGGAATGAAGTCCACATTCTGAAATTACACACAAATATGTTATAAAAAATGGAGTGTTTGAAATCAATTCTAATGTTAAATGCAAAGGACATTCTGGGCTCATTAAGTAAAAATATCTCATTTAATGAGCAGGAAAGCACTGGAGCACACTGAACCCTGACACAAAGCAAATTATTTAAGTGATAAATTATATTTTATGGGGAATGTAAAAGTTAATAATACTCAGGGGTAAGGCAATAAATGCAGAGGTGTAACTAACTTCATTGACTGCTTTACTTACAAACATGCCATATGTACCTGGCTACTTGAAATAGCAATAAAAAGAATTGGCAAACTCACGGAACCAAAGATTCATGTGGAGACCTTTGTAGCATTCTTTTCCAGTAGTCAATCCGCGTTTTATTCTTTTCAAACTCATTATTCTCCTCCCTCTCTCACTTTAGGATATATACCTCCGGTCTTTGCTTTTCACTTTCTGTCAAATATTTGATCTTGCATTCATTAAAACTGAAACCTTCTTATCTACCAGAGAGGCTAATAAAATGAGTGCTCATTTACCTGAAATGATGCCCTAGAAGTGACCTGAAACTTTACTTGAAGAGAACCAATCTATGCTGAAAGAAAACAGTGGCTCAACTGTTAATCCTCTGCCTTTCCAGTACATACAAGTTCAGTGGATGAATCTCCTAAAGTTATTGTTCAGTGAGATCAGTGCAGCAGATGAACTCACTGAGGATACACATGCATAAGCCTGTGCAGTAGAATAAGAGTCTCTACTACAAACACAATTATCAGAGCAAAAACTCTTTCACTATGTTTTTAATTGTGCAAAGGTAAATATCAAGTAGAAACCAATTCAGGAAGAGTATCAAAATTATTTCCTATTACTATTTCCTCAACCTTAGAAATGAAATTTGTGTTACTGTCTCAATACTCTTTCCAACTTCATTTATATATTTACATTTCCAAGCCAACAGCTAGTGTTTTAATCTCATGGATACATCCAGGAAGTGAATATGAAGCCAATGCACCGGATTTGTACAGCTTGTATATGTATAGGATGGTTATTTGCACAGCACAAGTAATGATGTTTGCCAAAACTTTCAACAGACTCGTTATACAGAATTAATCAAATTAATCATGAAAAGATTATTTCAACTATTTTGTAGAAATAAGAGTTCATACTCAATCCAAAACAAAGTTGCCTTCACATTAGCCTTCTATTTACTTTTCATCTTTAAACAGCTGTATGATAGTAATCAATGGTCTTGAAAGCAATTGAACAAGCTCAATACATCACTTTGAACGTGTAAAGTTAAACTATATACAAGCAAAAAAGTGCTTCTGACTAGATCCAGTATAAAACAAGTCAGTAGGAAAAAGAATCATTCAAAAAGATAAAAATCTCTAATTCAACCTCTTCATTGAGATCTAAAAAACAACAAAGATTATACGTGTTTCCTAGAATATTTCTGAGACATACTTCTGCCAGATTATGTAACTAGAAATAAAGAATCACATAATGTTTATGTGGAGCTACTTGTAAATTGGCCACTCTGCATGATGCATGACAAGAAATAGTGACAAAAGACGCATCCAGAAAAATTATACATTTCCAAATACACATTTGAGTAACTTATTCTCTCCTAAGTACTCAGATAACATCATACGGGTTTTGAATCTGAACTGGGAGATTCAGACTTAGTGCATTTTAAACAAAGCTGAAGGTTTTGAATGCTGGATTCTGCACATGGAATAGAGCAACCCTAGATACATGTACAGACAGACAGAGGGACAAGAGGTTGGAGAGCAGCCCCACAGAAAGATGTAGGAGTTCTGGCTGACAGCACATTGGACCTGAGCCAGCAGTATACCCTGGTGGCCAAAGCACTAAGCATCCCCTGGGAGCACCAGGCCCAGCACCACCGCCTGGACAGGGGAGGGGCTGTACCACCATACAGCCTCATCCCAAACAGTGCAGTTTGGGAACCACAGCATGAGAAAGGACATAAAACTATTAGAGAACAGCCAAAGGAGAGCTACAAAGATGATGAAAGGCCTGGAGGACAAGACCTACAAGTTGCAGCTGAGGCCCCTGGGTTTGGTCAGCACAGAGCAGAGGAGCTGAGGGGAGGCCTGATGGCCTCACAGGGAGCGGAGGGGCAGCGCTGAGCTCTGTGTGAGAGCAGCCTGAGGGAAACGGAGCAGAGATGTGTCAAGAGTGTCAGGGAAAGATTCTGCCCCAGAGGGCAGCGAGCATGGAACAGGCTGCCCAGCAGTTCAAGGATCACATGGACAGTGCTCTCAGGCAGATTTTGGACAGTCCTGTGTGAAGCAAGGAGCTGGGCTCAATGATCTTGTATTCCCATTCCACTCAGGATGTTGTAGGCTTCTAATTAATCCACTAACTCGAGAAAGCAGGAAATTGCAAGAAAAAACTTGAACATTGTAAGAATGCTGAGTTGGAAGCACCAAGAATATAAGCACGTACATACATTAACATATTATATTGAGGAGTTTAGAAGGTTAAACTAGAGATGTCTGGCATCACCCTCCTGTGTTCCACAGTAGCTTATAGTGAGACACGCACATAAGACTTGTACTACAGCTCAAAATGAGGTTGCCATCAAAGGTCAGACTACTAAAACAGGTAAATACATCAATTCTTGTATTCCCGTCAACATAAAAACACTGAAATATATGGAGAGGCCAATATCTAGATCCTTGTGAAACCTTATGGTAAGAGCATTTCGTGTTTGAACCATCTTCCTCCTGACTACAAAGCATTTTTATGGTCAATAGTCTTTGTACATGGGAAATACTACTCACTGCTTGTGTGTTTTTGTTTTTTAAACCTGTAGGCTATCAAATATCAGATAAAAAAAAGATATTAAAAAATATCATGGGAGAAACCTATCCCTGAACTAGCAAGGCATGCTTGTTATATCCTTAATGAAAAGTTTCTCCAAAGATCCTTTAAGATGGTTTCTCTCAGATACT